ATCCACTTGTAATACGATTGCACCTTCCTGTTTTAGCTCCATTTTGCTCATCAATCTTCTAAGCCATACTGCATGACAAATGCACCAAGATGCTGCCAAATATTCAGCTTCACATGTCGAAAGTGTTGTTATCGGTTGCTTTTTAGAAAGCCAAGTAAATGTGGTGTTTCCCATGATGAACACATATCCATAAGTTCTTTTTCGATTGCCTATATCTCCGCACCAATCACTGTCAGAGTAACCAACAAATTTGTAGTCTTCTGTTCTTGAATAGAACATTCCAAATGACATTGTTCCTTGGATGTACCTTAGGATTCGTTTCAATGCCTTCCAATGTGAATGTACTGGCTCCTCCATGAATCGACTTACAATGCTGACACTTAATGAAATGTTCGACCTTGTGCATGTCAGATATCGAAGACTACCTACCAAGCTTCAATATTTGCTTACTTCGACATGTTCTCCTCCATCAAATTTCGACAATTTTGCACTTGGTTCCATTGGCGTCGAAGTTGGATTACAGTTTTTCATCTTATATTTTTTCAAGATTTATTTTGCATATTTTTCCTGTGAAATAAATATTCCAGTTTCTTCTTGTCGAACCTCCAGACCAAGAAAGAATCCCATTAGACCTAAGTCTTTCATTTCGAATTCACGTGTCATGGTGCTCTTGAATTCTTCTATCATCTGATCATTACTGCCTAGAAAAATAAAGTCACCGACATAGAGAGCAACAAGTAATACATTACTTCCATTTTTCTTCACATAGAGGGCATGTTCATACGGACATTGCTGGAACCCATTCTCCTTGAAATATGTGTCGATGTGTGTTCCATGCATGCGGTGCTTGCTTCAGCCCATATAGCACTTTCTTCAATTCCATCACCTTATTCTCTTCTCCAATCCTTATATACCCGAGTGGTTGTTCGACATAGACTTCTTCTTCGAGTACACCATTCAAAATTTTTGTCTTGACATCCATTTGAAATATCGGCCATTTGAATTTAGCAGCTTGAGAAATGAGCAATCGAATTGTCTCCATTCTTGCAATAGGTGCAAACACTTCGTCATTGTCAGTTCCTTCTTTCTGTTTGTATCCCTTCGCAAAAAGTTGTGCTTTGTATCGTTATATTTCTCCTTGAGCATTCATACTTTCTTGAATACCCACTTTACACCAATGGATCAACTACCTTTTGGAAATTCGACTAGCTTCCAAGTGTTGTTGCGGTTTATGGCTCTAATCTCTTCATCCATGGCACTTTTCCACTTCTTGTCTCGTAACGCTTCTTCAAAACTGATAATTTCAGCATCTTCCAGAAGGAACACAAGGTGTACCTCATTTTTTGAATCATATAAATCTTGCAAACATAGCATTCTGGGTTGTAGAGGTTAATCTTCATTTTCAGTATCTTCATGTTCTGTTGAAATGCTTGTTGGTACAGCGACAAATGATTCTTCGACTGCGTCGATAACTTCTGTCGAATTGTTCCAGTCCCACTTGCTCGCTTTGTTTATTCGAACGTCTCTACTCACAATCACTTTCTTGCTTATGGGGTCGAATAGCTTGTACCTTTTTGTCTTCTTATCATACCCAATGTGTATAGACTTTTGACTTTTGTCTTCAAGTTTCGTTCTTTGTTGATCTAGTACATGTGCATAAGATGCACTACCAAATACTTTAAGATGAGAAACTGTTGGCTTCTGTCCGCTCCATGCTTCTTGTAGTGTTTGATCTTCTAACTTCAAATGTGGACATCGATTCTGAACATAAACAACATATTATACAACTTCTGCCCAAAATTCTTTCGACATGTTCTTTCTCTTAAGCATTGATCGAATCATGTCAAGAACAGTTCGATTATTTCTTTCAGCCACACCATTTTGCTGAGGTGAATATGGTGCAGTTAGGAATCTTCTTATGCCCCGCTCTTCACAATACTTCATAAAGGCCGTCAAAGTGTACTCATCACCTCTGTCATATTGAACTGCTTTGATATGTCGGCCGGTCTCCTTCTCCACCATTACTTTGAACTTTTTTAACACCTCTAATGCTTCAGACTTTTCTTTCAAGAAATAAACCAAGGTCTTTCGTGAGAAATTATCGATAAAGGAAATGAAGTACCTTTTTCCACTAAAGGATTCCAAAGTGATTGGCCCACATATGTCGGTATGAATGAATTCGAGAATATGTTTAGCTTGATATTCTGCCTTCTTTTGAAATGAGGTTCTTGTTTGTTTGCTGATCACACATTCTTCACAAAAATTTCCTTCATAATCCATGTCTGGTAGTCCTTGCACCATGTTCTTTTTCTCCAACCTTCTCAAACCAACATGATGTAGATGACCAAAGCATATATATCATAGTGACGCTTTGTCTTGCATGTCGACTTGTAGACATTTCTCTCGAACATTCCTGAAATTCAATTTGTACATACTATTTATTTCCATTTCGACACTGGCGATTAGATGTCCTACTTTGTCCTTCAAATGTAGTATTCGATCTTTTATAAGTATCGAAAAACCTTTTTCCGTAAGTTGTCCCAAACTCAAGATGTTGGTCTTGAGATCTTGTATATAGTAAACATCTTGGATTGATCCAATCAAGCCAACCTTCTGTAAGTAACAGATTGTGCCATTTCCTTCGACCTTCACTTTTGATGCATCTCCGAAAGATACATTACTATCTTCAATTTTTTTCATTTCTTTAAACAGGTGTTTCAAACCACACATGTGATTGCTTGCTCCTGAGTCAAGATACCAAACATTGTCATTATTGGTGTTGATTTCATTTTGAGCCATCAGGAGAAAACCTTCATTCGCTTCAGCTTTGAAGGATAGATTGGTTGTTTCTTCTACCTTCTTTTCGATTCCACAATCTTTTGCAAGATGTCCCACTTTATCACAATTATAGAATTTGTAGGAATTTCAATCCTTCGCGTAATGACCATACTTTCCATACTTCTAGAATTTGAAGTGGGAGTGGTTCGATCGACCACCTCTTTGACCACATCCTCTGCCACGCCAATTTTGTTGTTTCGAATGTCCTCTCTCGAATTGTTGCCTCGACCACTTCGACCACTGTCATGACCTCCGCGGCCACGTCCTCTTCCTCGAAAGATTTGAGAAAAGAGTATATTTTCTTCTTTGATCGACTCTTTGGTTTGATTTGCTTCCTCGACTGCTTCTTATTTCTTTTTCATCTTACGTTGTTCATGTGCTTCAAGAGAACCAGCGAGCTCTTCGACTGAGAGCGTCGAAAGGTCCTTAGACTCTTCTATTATCCATACAATATTCTAAAATTTATCTGTTAAAGATCTCAAAATCTTTTCAACAACTCGTACATCAGTTATTGTTTCACCATTTCTGGTGAGTTGGTTCACTACCTTTTGTACACGTGTGATGTAGTCAGATACATTTTATGTCTCCTTCATCTGCATCCTCTCCAATTCGCCACGAAGAGTTTTGAATTGAACTTGCTTCACTCGATATGCTCCTTGGAACACTTTCTCTAACGTGTCACATGATTCTTTCGACGTAGTCGAACCGACAATCTTTTCGAAGCCTGATTAGTCAACTGCTTTGAACAACATGTATAATGCCATTTTATCCTTCGATCGTGTCTCTTTTAACGCCTTATTTTGAGCTGTCGTATGTCCCACAACATCTGTTGGTTCTTCAAACCCATCTTTGGTCACCTCTCACGCGTCTAGAGATCCAAGAAGAGCTTTCATTTGGATACTCCAGTTTTTGTAATTTGACTTCGTTAGTCGTGGAAATGGCATTTGATTCATCATGTTTGCCATTAGCTCTGATGCCAATTTGATAAAAAGGAAGCAAATACTTTTTTATAACTTGTTATCAAATAGAGTACAATATTGGTCTTTATATAGACTCAAGGACTTTTACTATTCTAGGAAAGTAAATGATATTAGTAAATACTATTATAAGTCACTATTTCTTAGCTTTCCAATTACAATAGACATTTAAAACCTTCCCACTAACTTATTAATAGAAACTCACTATTTATAATATTTAAAGTTTATTCAACAAACACTACATCAATTATGGTTCTGAAGAGGCTTTAGGCCTAACGAAATCTATAGGAGTCAGCAACTTCACTTGCAAGAAACTTGATGACTTACTCTCTTTTGCTACCATTCCTCCTTCAGTCAATCAAGTACGAATGAATCATGTATGGCATCCGAAGAAGCTAAAAGAATATTGTGAAGAAAAGGGTATAATTATAACAGTCTTCTCTCCTTTAGGATCCAAAGGGATCATGTGGGGTTCTAATGAAGTCATGGATAGTGAAATACTCAAGGAAATTGCAGAGGAACATGGAAAACTGTTATGACTAAATATTGAGGACAAGGTTCAATGTGAACCCAGCAGCAATGATATAGTAAGGATTATGATTAATTAGAAGTAGAATTTATGTTATTGTTCTTTAATTTGTAATGCTTTTAGAATGTTCTTAAGACCTTAAAATATTATTGAAGTATGCTTTAATTAGTTATTGGGTCTTTAGTTATTATCCTTTACTACTACTATATATGTACTTATTGAGAGATAGCAAAGATAATCAATGAAATCAAAAATTATCTTTTATCCTTTATTTTTTAGATTCATTGAATAATCAATGTATTTGATCTATTTATAGACTAGATGCATTGATTATTCAATAAATCTAAAAAGTGAGTTAATTTCTTATAAAAAGGAACGGAAATAGTAATAAAGATGAAAAAAAGAGAAAATACGAAATTTTAGACAAAAACATTCCAATACTATAATTTGTTCATATTACAAATTAAGAATAAAAGCACTATTAGCCCAAATTTAAAATATGTAGAGACAACTCAACCATACAACATTATAAATTTTTAACTTATAAATTCTTTATTTCTTAATAAGGAAGCTCAACTCGAGAATCCTCATAAATTAGGGAAATACAGTATTCATAGTTTTTTCTTGTGTGATAATCAAAAACAAGATTCATTTAACTAAGCCTTAACGAATTTAACTTGGTAAGGAACATCAGTGAGAGCTAAACGTCTATTCCCATTTTCATCCACAAACAACCCAACATCTTTGCACTCATGTTTGCAAGAAGAACAAACACTAGGACAATAGACAAACTTATAACCCTCCACATATTTCTCAATCTTGAACCAATTTCCAATGCTATGTGGACCCGGGGCACCTATAAAACCATCTGTTATAATTAAAGACTTTTCTTTCGAAACATTAAAACGATCAAGCTTCCACACCGTGGTATGATAAGGGCAACTTGAGTTCGAATCAAACATGATGTTTAGGTCGGACGAGACACGAATAATGCCTTTTTTTGGGTTAAGAAGTGTAAACCTAATTGGGAGACTTTGGTATCTACTCACAACAATGATATCAAGAGGGCACGGTTGATCAATATTACTAGAAAGACCTAGACCTTCAGGACTTTTACAATTGGTGTAGGGCATGGATAAAAGAACGTTGTAATAGGTATTAGCTCGAAGGTTTTTGCCTTTTATGTCGAGAACTTGTTCGGGTGATGCTTGAGATGAACCAAGTAAAGGTTGTGAACTTAAGACAATGAGAAGGAGGAAAGCTAGTAATGTGTTCTTCATTTTCTTGATTTGTATGGTTTGAGTAAAATTGTGTTTTGGTTACTTATGAATGAAGTTTAAGAAGCCGAAATGGATTAACTTATAAATAGCTATTGTAGATTATATTATGAAAAAATAGATAAATATTATATACGGTTCTTAAGATATCTGTGGGTTAAAATTCAAATGTTACTCCCTTTGTTTTTGTATGGTTCTTATTATATTGTTCGTACGATGCAATTGGTGTAATGACTTTTAAAAACCATGAGGTATAACGGTATTCTTTTTCTATGATTGCTACAATACTATAGTACTCATGGTTTATCTCAAATCAAGTATACTCATTTCCTCTTTACTCATTAGTCATTTAAATTTTTTATTTTTATTTTAAGACTCCAATAATTTTAGAAAATAAAATAAAATAAAATAAAACAGTGTATCAATTAAGTTGGTGATGCTTTTTATATAAAAGAAAGTATCACTTTCAAGTTGGTTTCTAAACTATAAAAATATTACAAGATCGACTCATAATGCGAAAATATAAAGCTTATTCGATCCGATTTGTATAAGTAAAATTACCGTTTTATCTTAATTATGATGTACTACTATATTGACTTTTCAAGTGTGTTTCAAGTAATTATTCCATCAAAGAGCTACATGAGAAAATGAGAAGAAATAGAAAAGAAACGGACTCGAAATAAGAAAAACGGCAGAAATAACAAACATTTCATATCAGATGGTTGTGTCCCTCGGCATACCTTCTGTTCCCCATGGCACACATTGCATGTCACTCGACACAACCTGTTTTCTATTTTGTTTGACGCGCGAAGATTTCTCCACGATTTCACGTCAACAACCTACATGATTTCCTCCCGGTCTTTCTCCACACGTGGATCTTTTGGAAACACGAAGTCACATCCCTATATTTTCTCAAAGCAGTCTTTGTTACGGGAAGGATATAAAAAGAAAGACAGTTATACAAAGTCTCTCTCGTCTCTGCTGTCTCATTTTGTTACATTATTTTGCACTTTCGTTTTTTTCCTTCCACACCGTTATTTCAGTTTCACAGTTCAGAGCTTCGTTTAGAACTTAAGCAGATAAAACCTTCACTTAAGCAGCAATAGTTTTCTATACCGGAAAACTATTGCAATATTAGTTTTTTCTTCATGGACTCCTGAAATTGTTTTTTAGTTTAATACTTTTATTTTGCATTCAAGTTAGTTTTTCCACAAGCAAATCCTCTGAAATATTGTGGAGGATTGCTATAGTACTTAAAGAATTAAATAATTATGTTCTCCTCATTTAATTTCAGGTTTCTGTTAGTTTAATTATTGTTATTATTTATCTTTCATGTCTGAATTATTATATGTTTATTATTACTGTGTTCGTAACGAATAATATGTTCGACTAATTTCCCTGATACCAGTATGTAATGTCACGAATCAAAGGATTTCGCTAATGAATTGGCATAAAAAATTTATAAAAATAATTTTCTGGTTTGATTTCCATATTTCAATATAAAATTGTTTTGTTACGAGAGTAAGAGACAAACAAAGGTTAAAATTAATAATCACGAGAGTGTGAGTTTTTAACCGGATAGTGGTCATCAAACATTGGTTTTAGATACAGCGAGAGCGGTTTACGATTAATTAGAATTTATTTATTTTCAAAAAGTATTTTTAAATGTTGAATGAAACAACGAGAGTGAGCATTTAAGTTTAATAATATAGTCCAAATCAACAATCACGAGAGTGTGAGATAAAGATTTTTAAGCTAATAGTTTCTACTGAACTGTGTTTTGAATACTCAAAGCTATGCCAACGATTTACTAAATTCCCAAAGTCAGACGTATTACATATCAGCGTCCCGTTATTAAATATTTTAATTAAGTCTAACGTTATTTTTCGTCTACCACAAAAACTAAGATTTATTAGCATTAGCTTTACACAGTAGCTTTAGACAACAGTAATTTGATTACCAGTCACTGTGGGTTCAATATCTTTTAAAACTACGCGATTAAACTGTGCACTTGCAGTTAATACACCCGATAGACTCTTAGAGTCACGTGATCATGTTTTTGGCGCTATTTTCGGGGACTGATTTAGTTAATATTGTGAATCCTTTGTTACGCAATATAGACCAAGGCAACAATGTTATTTCCCTATTATCTATTGTTTGTATGACAAGCACTCGCTCTCAAGGTGAAGAATTAGAGAAACCAATCGACGAAGTCGAGCATTTTGTTAGTATAAGATGTCGAATTAGAGAATACTAAATTAAGTACAATCTTCCCGAATTCAATCTTCCCAATTTATCTCTTCCTGAACCAAGAATGGCCGAAGGACCCCAAAATCGTCTTTTAAAGGATTATGCTGCCACATCTCAAGAGGAACCTCATAACAGCCTTGTTGCTCCCGCTATCGCTTGAAACGATTTCAAGTTGAAACCTTCGTTATTACAAGCTGTCTAACAAAATCAGTTTTTAAGATGTCCTACGAGCGACCTGAATTTACATTTATCTGTGTTTGTGCAATATGCAGACACAGTGAAAGAAAATGGTTTCAGTCCCGAAGTTATAAGACTTCGCCTTTTTCCTTTTTCATTGCAAGATAGAGCTAGAGCTTGGCTCCAGTCTCTACCATCCAACTCTGTTACCGCATGGAACGAATTGAAGAATGTTTTCCTAGCGCGATTTTTTCTGCCGAGTAAAACGACTATGCTAAAAGCCAATATCAATGGTTTTAAACAAAAGGAAAGCAAATTTCTCTTTGAAGCATGGGAAAGATACAAAGACTTGTTGCAACGTTATCCACATCATTGTCTAGAAGAATGGATGATCATCCACACCTTTTACAATGGTCTCTTGTACAACACAAGACTAACGATTGACGTTGCAGTTGGCAGTACACTGATGGACAAACCTTATCATGACGCTTATCAACTTATCGAAAGTATGGCTCAAAACCATTACCAGTGGGGAAGCGATAAAGCCATTGTAGAGAAACCTCAGACGAAAGGCAGTATGTACGAAGTTAGCAGTTTAGACCAAGTCAACGCTAAGGTAGAAGCTCTTACCCAAAAGATAGAAAACTTGACCACAACTCCCGCATCCACTGTGGCTGCTGTACTCCAACATGAGATTTATGTGGACTTCACGCACATGTTGCGCCTGAATGTCCACTTTTAACAAGAGTACTAGTTGATCTAGTGAATTATGCTCAAGGAAACCCATACTGGAATACCTATAATCCTACTTGGAAAAATCATCCTAACTTTTCGTACAAGAATAACAATGCATTATATCCACCTGGACAAGCTCCTACTACACCCCCAGGATACCAGAAAGCCGTCCAAATTACTCCAAATGTTCCTAGGAAATCGAATATAAAGATCATGATAGGAAACTTCGTAGCCACTCAAGCTCAACAAAACAAAGATTTTCTTAATAAAAAAATATACACTAGTGAACAAATAAAGCATCTATCAAACAAAGTTGATGCCCTTTCCACTCATAACAAAGTGATTGAAACACAAATCTCTCAGGTGGCTCAACAACAAGTTGCTACAGCTTCTCCAACTGGCATTTTTCCTAGCTAACCACAACAAAATCCAAAAGGTCATGCTAATTCCATAACACTTCAAAGTGGAATGGAAGTAGAAGGACCAACTGACCCAAGAATCAAAAGTCTAGCCATGTACCAGAGCACCGGTAAACCAACTGAGAAGGAAGACGAACCAAAATAAGATGAGGAGGGAGATGAAAGCGCAGAGGTAAAAGAGAAAGAAAAAACCTATGTACCTCCACCACCATATAAACTACCAATACAATACCCTCAACGGTTAGATAAATCTAAAAATATAGGACAACTTAAGAAATTCGTTGAACTTCTTAAATAGTTAAACATCACTATACCTTTTATAAAAGCCATCACATAAGTGTCCTCCTATACTAAGTTCCATAAAGAAATCTTATCAATTAAGAAAAAGCTCGAGGGCAATGAAACCGTTATGCTTACTAAAAAGTGTAGCGCTATAATCCAAAATAACATGCCCCCTAAGCTCAAAGACCCTGGTAGTTTTTTTCATACCATGTGTAATTGAAAAGTTCGTCATAGACAAAGCTCTATGTGACTTAGGAGTCAGTATAAGTCTGATGCCCTTATCGATTTGCAAAAGACTAAATATGGGAGAATTATGACCAACAAGAATGTTCGTACAACTAGTTGATCGCTCAGTGAAGTTTCCTTTAGGAATAATCGAAAATGTTTCTGTACGCATTGGATAATTTTATATCCCTGCTAATTTCATTATTGTGGATATCAAGGAAGATTCCAACATCCCTATTATACTAGGAATACCATTCCTCGCCACCGCCGCAACCATCATAGATGTAAAAAGTGGTAAACTCGCATTTGAGGTTGGCGAAGAAAAAGTAGAATTCATCCTCTCATAATTCTTCAAAGCACCAGCTATAAATGATCCATCCTGTTTCTTGGACGTCATTGATGAATGTGTTAAAGAAATGGAGAAACAACAGACCAAATATTCAGAGGATTTAAAAATTCCAATACCTCCAATCCTTGAATATGACAATTGGTGCGATGAATACAAGGACGAAAATCTAAGTGAATGTCTTGCGCTAACTTCTGACCCTATGCCTTTCTTAAGGAAACCAGTTGTCGAACTTAAAACATTACCAAAAGATCTAAGATATGAATTCTTAGACACAAAACTCAAACAAACCATCATAGACAATGCTGCTTTTGGATAAATAGAAACAGAAAAATTACTACATGTCCTAAGGAAATACCCGACTGCTTTAGGCTATAACATCTCTGATCTAAAAGGAATAAGCCCCTCAATTTGCATGCATCACATTATGCTCGAAGAAGACTACAAAACCTCAAGTGAACATCAGATAAGAATAAAACAAGTTCTGAGTGATGTAGTTAAGAAAGAAGTAAAAAAGTTATTAGAAGCAGGAATTATATATGCGATATCCGACAGTAAATGGGTTAGCC